ACCGTCCCAATTCATTTCTTTACTAAATGAACGGTACACTATAAAACACTTTATCACAATCATTCAATGAATACGTGTTTAGGATGGTGTATGCGCCGACCGATTTTGGCTAGACCGCGAGCATTGCTGTTGGTCTTCGAACGATACTGTTTTCAAAGTCAGTCCATTGTACCAATGCTTCGATTTGGTTTTGTGGATTATCCTTTCATGATTAAAACAACTTTTGGTTGGAAGGCAATCGTATCATTTTTACTTTATTTTTTCAGTGGGTCATGAGCAACGAAATATTATTCACCAATTTAGGACTCGGACTGTAGTGCATGGACCACATGGCCTGAGATGTTGGACTACTATAACAGAACGCCGTTTTTCTATATTTTGGAATTTACATTCTATGTTGGCTGGGCTGTACTTATGTCCACGTTAGCCGTGCTGTTTGTGAAAGTTAATCTTTTAATTAGTTCACTTCTTTCTTCTGTTTCATTTCTATTTTTCACTTGATAGGTGTTTGCACCCTATGCTTGCGGCTCTGGTATACCAGAAATCAAATGTATTCTATCTGGATTTGTTATACGTGGATACCTTGGTAAATGGACTTTTATCATCAAGTCGGTTGGACTGATCCTGTCTTCCGCATCTGGTTTGTCCTCTTCAGCTATTTATTTTGCTGTTTTTTCTTGCTGCACTTTTGTATTTATATTCTTTATATACTACCATACTATGCGTGTTTATTAGGTCTGTCACTTGGTAAGGAAGGACCAATGGTTCACCTTGGCTGTTGCATCGGCAATATTTTTTCGTACTTGTTTCCTAAATATGGAATGAATGAGGCCAAGAAACGAGAAATTCTAAGTGCTTCTGCAGCGGCTGGTGTGAGTGTGGCTTTTGGTGCTCCGATTGGAGGTGTTTTATTCAGGTATAATCTTTATTTTAATTGCCTACTCAAAGAGTTCAGTTGTAATCAATGTTTAGTTTGGAAGAAGCCTCATACTATTTTCCACTAAAAACCATGTGGCGCTCATTTTTCTGCGCTTTGATTGCCGGGATTATCTTACGCATAGTGAATCCCTTTGGAAGTGACCAGGTACATGGATTTGTTGGTTAACGATTTGAGTTTGTAAGCTATATGCCGTCATTCTTTACCACATATCCCTCTACTCTGTTTAACTGTAGCTCATTGACTGTATATGTATTTTTAGACATCGCTTTTCCATGTGGATTACATGATGAAATGGACATTCATTGAGCTAATTCCGTTCGCTGGTCTTGGTCTGTTTGGTGGAATTCTCGGAAGTATGTTCATATTTGGGAACATCCGGTAAGTAGAACGCACTCATGACTCTGTTCTTCCGATG